AGCCGCAGTAAAGAATCAACGTTGGCCGATTTTGGTTCTTGACATCCTTTACGATCGGTTACGATGCCTAGAGTACGGAGACCTGTACGATTTCGTTAACTTAGTGAGTTTGACACTGTGGTTAGGTGTTGTCAGGCATGGCTTCGAGAAGGCCGTACGCAAAGAGCAAGGGGCACTGGACGCCGCCGTAGAACAACAGTCCGTGAAGATCGCCGCCTAAGATTATTGGCCTTAAGGGACCGTTTCTCCACAACCAGGTCCATTGCAAATGAATGGTTTGCAGAACACGGAAGACCTATTGGCATGCGAAGTGTTTACCGACGAATGAGAACTTTTGGCTTGTTTTCATACCGGCCACACTGGGTCCTCCCTTTAACTCGAGAACACCGACGTAATCGCCTTGAGTGGTGCAGACAACGGTCACACTGGGATCAGGAATGGAACAGTATTGTCTTTAGTGACGAGTCTCGATTTTGTTTAGGCATGCACGATGGTCGTGCCAGGGTTAGAAGGCGACGTGGTGAAAGGAGGAATCCACAGTTTTTTGTTGAAAGACATGTTCATCACACTGTTGGAGTTATGGTTTGAGGTGCTATAGCTTATGGTTCCAGGTCACCTTTAGTCTTCATCAGAGGTAACATGAACGCGCAGCGTTATATCCACGAAGTTCTAGAACCCCATCTTTTACCCTATCTTGACACCCTGGCAGATCCAACTTTCCAACAAGATAATGCCCGACCACATGTTGCAAGAGTCACAATAGACTTCTTTCAACATAATGATGTCACATTGTTACCATGGCCACCAAGATCTCCCGACTTATCCCTAATTGAACACGTTTGGGATATGATGGGTAGGAGATTGCTCAATTTGCAACGTCCTCCTCAGGCTCTAGAAGCACTTCGAGAGGAGTTGGTGGTTGCCTGGAATGAGATACCACAGGAGGACATTGACCACCTGATCAGAAGCATGCCTAGGCGCGTTGGAGAATGCGTAGCACATCAGGGTGCATCCACACATTTTTAAAGGTCAAAGGGCTTTAAAGCAGTGCAATCATTTTGAAATTTTTATCATTTACTTATTATGCTTCATTAAGCACTTATACAAAATTTTATTAAAATAAAACCATTTAAACTGGGTGTTAAAATAGCACGAACCCTGATTTGATGGCATGTTGCTTATCCGTAGCATGTGGACAAAGATGCTAAGATCATTGGACGAGCATGAACTACCACTCATTGAAAGTACGGCTCTTCACAGCCATTCCAGTATAAAGTTTTGTTCAAACCATTTGTATTTTTTGCTACGAAATGTGATTAAGGTGCTTTTTTGGCCAGACCGCGAATACCTATATTCGCCGTGAGTACGATCCCAGGTAAATCATTTTTTAATAAACGTTTCTTGCTCATGGGCGCCTGCAGGAGTGCCAGGGGGGCAGTGCCCCTCTGAATATCTGGTTGGGCCTTAAAATTTGCATATTTAGCAAGAACTTTTGTATAGTTTGAGAAAATAGTTTATAATAGAATGTATGCTTTTTCGAATAATCTGTTAAACAACTAAACAAATACGGCATCATTTTTATTGCTTTGTTTCGTCTATTAATACGTCGATGAAAATTATTACATAACATATTTTTTGATTTATCAACAGCATTCGACTGAGTTCAAGCTAACATCCTCGTAAATAAAATTAAAGGCTATGGTTTCAGAAATCCCGTAGAGTAATGGATTTTGTCATTTATGTTAAACAGAAAAACTCAGGTCAAGCTGGGTATCACTATATCTACTGCACATGGCATAAACTTTATAGTAACTTAAGGTGGAGTACTATCACCATTTCTGCTTTTGTTAATTGTGAACGATTTAGAAGAATACATAATTGATAATAATTGTCTCTTGGTTACTTTTGCTGATGACACAACGATAATATACTAAGTGACATATAAATCCGAACACCCAGTTTAAATGGTTTTATTTTAATAAAATTTTGTATAAGTACTTAATGACGCATAATAAGTAAATGATAAAAATTTCAAAATGATTGCACTGCTTTAAAGCCCTTTGACCTTTAATAATGTGTGGATGCACCCTGATGTGCTACGCATTCTCCAACGCGCCTAGGCATGCTTCTGATCAGGTGGTCAAGGTCCTCCTGTGGTACCTCATTCCAGGCAATCACCAACTCCTCTCAAAGTGCTTCTAGAGTCTGAGGAGGACATTGCAAATTGAGCAATCTCCTACCCATCATATACCACACGTGCTCAATTGGGGATAAGTCGGGAGATCTTGGTGGCCATGGTAACAATGTGACATCATTATGTTGAAAGAAGTCTACTGTGACTCTTGCAACATGTGGTCGGGCATTATCTTGTTGGAAAGTTGGATCTGCCAGGGTGTCATGATAGGGTAAAAGATGGGGTTCTAGAACTTCGTGGATATAACGCTGCGCGTTCATGTTACCTCTGATGAAGATTAAAGGTGACCTGGAACCATAAGCTATAGCACCCCAAACCATAACTCCAACAGTGTGATGAACATGTCTTTCAACAAAAAACTGTGGATTCCTCCTTTCACCACGTCGCCTTCTAACCCTGGCACGACCATCGTGCATGCCTAAACAAAATCGAGACTCGTCACTAAAGACAATACTGTTCCATTCCTGATCCCAGAGTGACCGTTGTCTGCACCACTCAAGGCGATTATGTCGGTGTTCTCGAGTTAAAGGGAGGACCCAGTGCGGCCGGTATGAAAACAAGCCAAAACTTCTCATTCGTCGGTAAACACTTCGCATGCCAATATGTCTTCCGTGTTCTGCAAACCATTCATTTGCAATGGACCTGGTAATAGAGAAACGGTCCCTTAAGGCCAATAATCTTAGGCGGCGATCTTCACGGTCTGTTGTTCTACGGCGGCGTCCAGTGCCACTTGCTCTTTGCGTACGGCCTTCTCGAAGCCATGCCTGACAACACCTAACCACAGTGTCTACACTTCTTTGCACTCTAACTGCAATTGCCCAAAAAGAAAGTCCAGCTTCCCGAAGTCCCACTATACGGCCCCTATCAAACTCACTAAGTTGACGAAATCGTACAGGTCTCCGTACTCTAGGCATCGTAACCGATCGTAAAGGATGTCAAAAACCAAAATCCGCCAACGTTGATTCTTTACTGCGGCTGAAATATTCATTTTTAGAGCGTTAGTGAATTAAAAAAAGCAGTATAAAAACCGGAATGTCCAACTGATAAGGCTGAAAATTTTTTCACTTGTTATTTACAGTAAGATAAATAGATTCACCAACTTTTATTAAAATAAAACCATTTAAACTGGGTGTTCGGATTTATATGTCACTTAGTATAGTATCATCAAAGTCGTAACAGGATCTAAACTAAGGCTAGTAGCATCATAACGTACAGTTTTCAAAAGTGAGTAGTATTAAATAAGTTACTAATTAACACAGCTAAAACTAAATATACCCTGTATCACAAATGAAGGCCACAGAACAACATCACAGATACAATAAACAATAAGTCACTGCAAAGAATACCAAACATAAAATTTTTAGTTCAAATAGTGAATGAACATTTGAGCTGGAAATACCACATAAAGTATTCTGTCAAAAAAATTAATTCAGCATTTTTTGCTATAAGAAACTTGGAATACGTAATAAATAAAAAACACCTATTCAACGACTATTACTGTACCTATATTCCCACCTCAAATATTTAGTGCTATATTGGAGATCATCTATTGAGGTCGAATGAATCTTTATCCTTCCAAAAAGAATGTCAGAATCGTATTCCCATTGCATCCTCTAGAGCAGAGTTCCCCAAACTTTTTTGTGTCGTAGACCCCTTGCCATGTTTTTCCGTGTTGGGTAGACCCCCTACTTACCTGATATTGATTTCCTGTAAGCAATAAGTCAATATTTTTAGTGAGAAGGATGAACCTGATGCTTTAATAATAAATTATCAACATTTGGCGTCAATTTTGTAAGGGTTAAGCTTAAATCTCCTCGGCTAATGTTGTCCAGTCTGTTTCTTTTTTTCGTTAGGAGATTGGTAACAGCGCTGAACCCCCTTCCCACTAGGTATGACGATGGAAAGGAAATTGAAAAATTTCCTCGCTATATTCCATAATACGGGATAAGTAACGGGTATGTTGTTTTGCAGCCAGAATTACTGATATCCATTTTTAAACTGAACCTTAAGTTCTTCGTTTGTACTTAGTTCAGTCAGTTCCTCTTGTACTATGACATTCGTTTCTTCTATGTCATCATATGGATTAATTATCCACGGTGGTATTACCATAGTCAAAATATCCTCAAACCTAGATTCAAAATCTGAATAGAGGGCATTTAAATGTTGAACGTAAGTTGAAACGTCGTCTTGCTGGCAGCTTGTCTATGACAAATTGGGGAACTGAGAAAATTCGTCCCGTCCAATATTTTGCTTCATTAGTTTAACTCTGGCAAGAAACACTGATAAGATGGACTTTGTTTTAATCAAATTTAACTGTCGCCTTGTAATTGCAAATTAACCATATTAAATTTTGTAAACAAATCTGTTAAATAGGCGATGTCTGTTTCCTTCTTCATTAAATTTTCTTTTAAAATTTCATCTTTAGTATCCAGAAATTCTAAAATAGTCTCAAAAAGTGCAAAAAATCTAGTCAAACATAAGCCTTTCGGCAGCCAGCGTACTTCAGTGTGAAGGAGTAATTGATGAAAGTGTTCGTCATTTTCTTCACACAACTGCGCAAATAACCGCGTATTCAACGCGTTGCTTCGGATTCGGTTTACTGCATCAATGACTAAATGAAGTGATTCATGCAATTTAACACTCAAATTTTTAGCAACTAAATGTTGTCGATGGATGACGCAATGTATTGCTAACACCCCTGACACATTTTGTTTTAAATAGCTTATAAATCCACGGTTATCAAAGTTCTTGCGAAGAGCAGTTCTTCGTAGATTTCTTGATTCATAATAAAACGAACATATGCCAATTATAATGCTGCATTATCAGGTAAAGTTGACTCGTCCAGTTGTATAGAGAAATGGGTCGTTTGCAAATAATTGCATAAGAAGCTTTCAATATCAGAACTCATTTCATCAATACGTTTTTCAACAGTATTGTTGCTTAAGGGAATTCTTTTAATGATATCAGATGCAGGTTTGTGTAAAACAGTTTTTAAAACCTCTTCAACGGCTGGCAAAATCAACTTCTCTCCGATAGTATGCGGTTTTCCAGATTTTGGTATAAGTAACGAGATATTGTAAGACACCCGCAAACCATCATCATTTCTTTGTGACATCGTAGCGAACATTCTGTCCAGTGTAGGTCTCTTCTGAAATTTATCTTTGAGTGTTTGAAAGTATTTCAAATCTTTCTCTGTTTTATCAGGGTGGCATCTTCTCAGATGATCTTGCAGTTTAGATGGTTTCATAGCGTCATTGCCCAAAACTTTGTTGCATAAAAGGCACATAGGCGATTGTTTGTCCGGCAATGATGGAATGAAGCCAAATTTCAAATAATCAACACTGTACTGTCTACATTTCTTCTTAGATTCGGACATGGCATCAGTCATCTATGGGCAAAATTAAATTATTTAAATAAGACAGAAAATCCAGCAGCTGTATATTAAAAATATTTTTTGATTTTTCCGAAAGCATTCCATAATTCGAACATCTTGCAACAATTAGCTCGAATTACGGAGATTGCACTGTGATTATCTTATCGATTCCTAAAACTTTCAAAAAGAAACTATTGAGGAGTACTCGTGTAATTTTGCATGATTGAATATTTAACTACTAATAACTAAAGTCATGATTGGCGTAATTTATCTATCTTTGCTAACTACGAGTATAAAACTAAAATTTAATAAAAAATAATGTACTTACTTTTCTCCAGCACTCTCAAACAAAATAACACTGACTCACTATAATTTGTGTGATATACTATCTGTTTATATTTTTTAAAATATTTTCTTAGCACTTTCCTTTTCAAGATTCAGGAAACGAATAAACGTATTTGTCCCACATTCGTATTTATAGAGTGACGAATTGAACAAGTCAGTGCAAGGTAGCGAAGCTCTGAGACTGCGACTCTCAGGTTTTTGCAAGTTCAAAATGTATTGCGACCACAAAGCGAATGCCAACATCCTACAACTTACACAATTTTATAAACATATACAGTATAATAAATTTTTTACTTCATAGGTACTTTTATAAATAATGTATATGTTTTGATATTATAAGATAGTATGATGTAAGTAAATAGGTACTATCAGTGTATGTGTTGAGATCCACTATCGTGGACCCCCAATTTTTTTTTCGCTGACGTAGACCCCTTGCAGGTTGTCATAGACCCCTAGGGGTCGATATAGACCACTTTGGGAATCAATGTCTTAGAGTATGGAGAACGTGACAGTTTCCCACACCAGAAGAAACATCTCCCAGTTTCCTTAATCAGTCAATGTCCAGCAAGTTTCAACAAAATTTCCTTTCTAGCAGTCCCGGTACTCCGGTATTTATAATAATAATAACTTTTATTCAAATTACTTTGCGGATATGAAACGTCAACAGTAAAAGTTCAGATTTACATAAACAAAAGAAAAATATACATGACTAAATTAGAATAAATAATAGTTTGATAAACTAAAAAAAGACGCTTTTATAGCTAACCGAACTACAAAGTTGAAATTAATTTTTAATAACAAACAGTTTATATTACAGTAGTAGACGATCGAACAATCAATGACCTCAAAATAAAATTATAATGAAATTTAAGTTATAAAAAGAATTATCCAATTCAGAGTAAAAACCCTGGGGTGCTTGATATATTAAATGTTAAATCATTCTATTGGCAACTATCTATGAGAGAAGACTTATGAAAATGTAGTAAAATGCCCACGCTTCTTACTCTGAATTGAATTATGCTGTTAATAATTTAGATTTTATTAAAATTTTATTTTGAGGCCATTAATGTAACATAAACTCTTTGTAATTCATTTTAGGGTGTGAATCTACATGAAAAATAATGTTAGTTTGCTCTATAAACTATGGTCCAAAAATGTTTCCTTACAAAAACTCGGGGTGTTGAAGTTTTAGGACACAAATGAAAATTAATTAATATTTTCAGAACCGCTTCTGATATTTCACTGATATTTAGTGCGTAGTGAAAGTTAATAAAGTTAAGCATATTTTTCAATGCAAATTCGATATTTTTTTAAGAAAAAAATGGTACGCCATTGGTTTTTTTAATACCCCGTTCAATTTCAAACATATGATCTCTCTTGAGTTGCTTTCCTTCGATGCGCCAGTTTTAATTAAAAAAATAAAAACCGTTCTATTGTCCGAGAAAATTAATGTAATCATTGAAGAATGCAATTTAGCAATAAATATCTAGTTGCTCTGAAGTATGTCACTGGCTTTTGACATCTGACAAGTCTCTGTTATTTGAATCTGTTCACTGTAACATCTTTTTCATTATTTAGTTTTTACAATCTTGTTAATAATGGTGAATTATTCAAATGCATATCCGCCATTCATGAATGTATAAGGCCTTGCCGACGGTAATGGTGAGCAAGCCAGACGGATTTATCACCAGAGATATCCCGATCGTGCTTTTCCAGATAGTCGAACCTTTTTTAATATTCATCGTCGTCTTGTTGACACTGGGTTTGTCCGATCAGGAACATCTGAAGGTAGACCACTAAGTGTGACACACCTGAAATTGAGGAAGCAGTGCTACACGAAGTCGAAGAACATCCTGAAACGAGTACGAGGAAGATCGCCAGACACTTAAATATTTGCCATCAAATTGTTTGGAGAATTTTAGTGGATTTCTTGTTATATCATTATCATATTCTAAGAGTGCAGGCATTACTTCCAATTTATTTTTCAAGGCGGTATCTTCAAAAAGTTACACAAAATTCTCAATTTGAATCAACGATTCTGTTCACGGACGAAGCTAATTTTTCTCGAAATGCCATTCAGAATTTCCACAATAATCATTTGTGGGCAGAAGAAAATCCCTATGCCGTAACTGAAACCCACTTCCGTCATCAATTTTCGGTTAACGTAAGGGCAGGAATTATTGGCAACCACTTTATTGGCCCATTCTTCTTGCCGGGACGACTTGTTGGACAGATTTACCTCAATTTTCTTCAACAACAGTTGCCTTTGCTGCTTGATGATGTTCCGTTAGCAATAAGAAATAATATGTGGTACATGCATGATGGTGCACTAGCGCATTTCAGTGTAGCGGTTCATGATTATTTACAAACTGTTTATCCAAATCGTTGGATTGGCCGCGGTGGGCCCCAAGAATGGCCACCAAGGTCCCCAGACCTCAACAGTTTAGATTTCTTTTTGTGGGGCTATCTTAAGACACTAGTGTACACAAGTCCCATTAACACTGTAGAGGAATTTAGAGAAATAATAGTTGCATCTTGTCACGAATAAAAAAGACTCCAGGAATATTTCAACGAGTGCGCAATTCCATGAGAAGGAGGGCGGAAGCATGCATACTAAGTGAAGGGGGCCATTTTCAACAATTCTTGTAATCATTTCGTTGGTTTTAATGTTATGTTTATGTTGTCAGTTGTTACTGTTCATTACCCCTAATGTGTTTAATTTTTCCAATTAAATTAATAATAATTTTGCAAGTTAGACAATAGAACGGTTTTTATTTTTTTAATAAAAAATGGCGCATCGATATAAAACAATTCAAGAGAGATCATTTGTTTTAAATTGAACGGGCAATGCAAAAATAATTTTTATTTGGTAAAAAAGCATTGGCGTACCATTTTTTTCTCAAAAAATATCGAAGTCAATACCCGTACGCACGCCACTGTTAAAGATAAAAATTATTTGTGCATTGAAAAATATGCAACTTCATCAACTTCCACTATGTACTAAATATCAGGGAAATATCTGAAGCGGTTCTGAAAATATTAATTAATTTCCATTTTTTTCCTAAAACTTCAACACCCCGAGTTTTTGTAAGGAAACATTTTTGGACCATAGTTTATAGAGCAAACTAACATTAATTTTCATGTAGATTCACACCCTTGACTATTCGCATATCATTAAGGAACACCCTGTATATGCCCGGTACCGGCGCATCTCAGTGACAATGTCCGGCTGCTAATCGGCTTTTTTCCGGTGCCAGTCGGTGGTCGGCCAGTATGCAAGTTTCAATGCTCTACCATGGTTTATTATTAAAATGTGGTCGGCCGATATTTTACCGGCCGTCCAAAATCGGTGTGTGTGTGCAAATAGCCTGACGACAATGTCAGGCTGCTAACTGGCTTTTTTCCGGTGCCGGTCGGTGGTCGGCCAGTGTGCAAGTTTCAATGCCCTACAATGATTTATTATTAAAATGTGGTCGGCCGATATTTTACCGGCCGTCCAAAATCGGTGTGTATGTGTGCAAGTAGCCTTAAGCTTACGACTATGCCACCGCGGCTTCCAACATGTTCAAAATCGGAAAACACCTCGAAAAAAAATTGTAATGTAAACCTTACGTTTCCACTGTTCTCAACGTATAAATCGATCAAAAGACCATCGTATCGAAAGAGTCCCTGTTAAAAAACTGTAGCGTAATCAAAATGCAAAACATTGCTGTCCTAATAATATTGTCTTTTTCACGAGTATCCATTACGGTAGAATGACAGCTGGCTACTAAGTGTTATCCGTCAAAATGACACATAATTCTGACGGAGCCGTCAATGCCATGTAGACAGATTCTTATATTGTTTTTTTTTGTGCGCTACAGATTTATTTTGCACTTGCTAACAATTCTTTTATTTAGAAAAATTCATTTGCATACAGCAAAAGACGCTACAAGCAAGTTTTACTAGTTTTGCACCGGATTTTTTTATTGCCAATGGTTACAGACTAATAATAATAATAATAATAATAATAATAATACCTAATAATAATAATAGTTGTTCTTGCGATTATGCAGCATCGACTACTGGGTCATTAGCTGCGTGACATTATGTGATTCAATTTTGGTTGAGTATAATTAGAGTTTCCAGTAAAAGCGCGTGCATTTCAGAAACGATATCGTGCTTTTTATTAGATCAGGCTTATTCAGATTTTCTGCGAAATCTCTTGACAGGCCAAAACTGTTTCTAAGGTTGCTTAATGCTGGACATTCTATCATAATATGCATTGCAGTTAATCGTGCCTCGCATGACGGACAATTTGGATGGCCTTGGCCCGAGAGTAAGTAGGAATGTGTCAATGCTGTGTGGCCCAAACGCAGTCTATGTATCCGGACGGCTTCTTCTCTACTCATCTTGACGTTAGGTGTCCATTTTGTTACATCAGGTTTTATTGTTCTTAGCTGAGTAGGTTCATTGTTCTACTGTCTTTGCCATGCTTCTGTTATACATTGCCTAATTTTCATTTTCATGTCTGGTGCTTTCACTATTGT